GTAGAGTAGTCAATGATTTGTAGACTGAATAAATATTATATCAATAATTAATTAATTAGACAAGTAATTTAATCGTAACAAATCAAGAGACATAATAAATTACAAAATGAATTAAACTTGAATTAAAAATGTATTTTACATATATTATAGTTAAATTAGAAGAGAATTAATTATGAATGCAAAATGTAGCAAACGAAAGAGCATTCTATGATCTTTAAACTGAATGAATATGTATCAATAATGAATTTAATAAGTGATTCAATCGTAAAAAATCAACCAATAAATTAAAATTGTATTTAAAAGTGTATTACACAAATATTAAAGTTGAATTAGAAGAGAGAATTAAGCATGAATAGAAAACGTAACTCATGAAAGACCAGACAGTGATCTATAGAGTATATTAAACTTCTTTCAATAATGAATTAAGCAAGTAATCCAATAGTAACAAATAAATCAAAAAATTGCAAAATAAATTAAATTTGCTTTAAAATTGTATTACACAATATTAAAGTTGAATTAGAATAGAGAATTAAGAATGAATGAAAAACGTAACTAACGAAAGATAAGACATCGATATATAAACTGAATTAAACTTATATTATTCATGAATAAAACTTATATTATGTGTGTCTTATAAATTATTTTGATTTGTATCACTAAGAAATGAGTGATAGTTGCAATATGTATTATAAATGTATTGCTCATGAATAAAATTTATATTATCTGTGTCTTATAAATTATTTTGATTTATCACTAAGAAAATGAGTGACGATTGCAATATGTATTAAAAATGTAATGTGGATGTCTTATAATTGTATTATTAGTGTGTTACCTAAATTACTCTTGTTGGTGTCACTAGGAAAGGAGTGAAGTGTGCAGTATGTATTATAAATGTACTATTCATGAATAAAACATGTATTACATATATCTTATAGATTATTTTGATTTGTATCACTAAGAAAAAGAGCGACGTTTGCAATATGTATTAAAAAAGATCAATTACTTGTGTGGATCCCTTTTAAAAAATAATTACTTATTTTAAATATACTCTTTAATTATTATCATTTATAGCAATATATAATAATAATAATAATAATAATAATAATATATATTTTATTAGATTTGTCTTTCTCTTTTGTCTCTTTCTCCTTTATCTCTCTCGTTTTTTTAACTTTTATCTCTCTTTCTAGATCTTTCTTCCTTTTTTCTTATGTTGTTCTTTCTCCCTTGTTTTCTTTCTGTTGTTCTTTCTCACTTGTTTTCTTTATGTTATTTTTCCTTCTTGTTTTTTTCCCTTTATTTCTCTCTCTACTTTTTTTCGTAGAGTAATCAATGATTCGTAGACTGAACAAAATTTATATCAATAATTAATTAATTAGACAAGTATATTAACAAATCAAGATACATAATAAATTGTAAAATGAACTAAACTTGAATTAAAAATGTATTCCACACATATTAAAGTTGAATTAGAAGAGAATTAAACATGAATGCAAAATGTAGCAAACGAAAGAGCATTCTATGATCTGTAAATTGAATGAATTTGTATCAATAATGAATTAAACAAGTAATTCAGTCGTAAAAAAATCAACCAATAAATTGCAAAATGAATAAAAATTGTATTTAAAAGTGTATTACTCAATTATTAAAGTTGAATTAGAAGAGAGAATTAGGCATGAATTGAAAATGTAACTAATGAAAGACCAGACAGTGATCTTTTACTGTATATTAAACTTCTTTCAATAATGAATTAACCAAGTAATCCAATAGTAACAAATAAATCAAAAAATTGCAAAATAAATTAAATTTTCTTTAAAATTGTATTACACAATATTAAAGTTGAATTAGAAGAGAGAATTAAGAATTAATGAAAAATGTAACTAACGAAAGATAAGACAGCGATCTATAAATTGAATTAAACTTATATTATTTATGAATAAAACTTATTATATGTATCTTGTAAATTATTTTGATTTGTATCACTAAGAAATGAGTGATGGTTGCAATATGTATTATAAATGTATTGCTCATGAATAAAACTTATATTATATGTGTCTTATAAATTATTTTGTTATCACTAAAAAATTGAGTGACAGTTGCAATATGTATTAAAAATGTAATATGGATGTCTTATAAATGTATTATTAGTGTGTTAACTAAATTATTCTTGTTGGTGTCCCTAAGAAAGGAGTGAAGTGTGCAGTATGTATTATAAATGTACTATTCATGAATAAAATATGTATTACATATATCTTATAAACTATTTTGATTTGTGTCACTATGAAAAAGAGCGCATTTGCAATATGTATTAATAATGTATTGTGCATGTATCATAAATGTATTATAAGTGTGTTACCTAAATTATTTTAATTGATATCATTAAAAAGGGAGTGAAATTTGCAATTTGTATTATAGATGTAGGATGTATTGTTCATGATTTTAATTCAATTATGAAACATATCTAATACAACTTTAATATAAACGCGATAAGTTCCATGAACTTCATCTTTTTTGAGCTTCAATCTAATTTTTCTCTTAAAATCAATTCTAAACTTAACCAAATTTAATAACCCCGAAGGTCATTTTTAGAAATTTTAACAAAATTATCGTTTTACCCCATCTCGATAGGTTCTTCTAGTCATTTTTGATCAGTTTGTGTAGTTGATTTGAAAATTTTTGAGCTATTTGTTAATTATGATTGTTTAGTTGATGCTGATTTTAAATAATTAATTTTATCTGATGGCTAATGGGCTAAGTCCATAAATTATTTAATACCTTAAGTCTGACCCATATATGAAAATATTGGGTCATACTGCTTTGAATACTTTCAGAGTTTAGTGGAGCAATTTTTATGATTTTAAATTTTCTTTTACGGTTAGCACTTAAATCTTTTAAGTTCACACAAATTATAATTTTAGTTCAAAAAGATGATTGCACTCCGTTGGAAAATAAAGGGACTTACCTACAATTTTCTTCTTAACTTTATTGGGATTCGTGAGCTTTTCATAGTTAATCTGGTTTAATATTTTGAAATAAGTAATTAAATATTATGTGTATTATATTATATGAGTATCATAATAATTATGTCATTAGGAGGAAGTAAGACTTAATACTAGACTTGAAATTCAGGAAATATGAGATTTGATCTATTGGTTGGAATCAAGATTTAGAAACTTTATTATAAAAATTTGGGTGAGTTTTGGGTCTAAGCTAGACATATAATAATATGAGTGTTGTTAGATTCAAATTTTTATTGTGATTATTTATTTGAATAGATTGAATTGATTTAGAAGTTCAACGAAAGTGGAAGGCTCAAGTCCCGAAATGATTATTCGACTATGTGAGGCAATCGGATTTCTAAATCCTTATTAAGTATATATAATTGTGTAATTTCTCGTGGTATGTGTTGGAGAGTAATGAAACTTGGTGATGAGTTAACTTATTAAATAATTCTAATAATAAAAAAGGGGTAATAAAAGACTATGTGATTATTTAAATGAAAATTTGAGAATAGTTATTTAAGTGAAAATTTGAAAGAAGAAGAATAAAATAAAATAAAAAGAAGAGGAAGAAGATAAAAAATGACAGAGAAGGAGACGATGAAGAATAAAAAAAAAAAAAAAAGGAGGAAGAGGAAAAAGGGCATAGAAAGAGGCAAGTGACCGTACAATTTTCTTAATTTCAAAAAAATGTTACATTTAGTTAGAAAAATTATATTGTCATAGATGGAAAAATTGTTATATTTAGGGTGTTTTCTAGAAAATGTTTTCCTGAAAAACAAGTAGATTTTTTATTTATTTTCTCATGTTTGGTTAGTGAGTAGAAAATATTAATTTTTAGTGTTTGATTTATGAATGAAAAATGTTTTTGAGAAATATCTTTATTTTTACTAGAGTAGAAAATAATTTTTGAAATTGAAAATATTTTTTAAAAACAAACTTAATTTTTTTTTGGAAGGTGGGGGGCCGGCGGGGCGGGGGGAGGTGAAAAACTAAAAAATTAAAGTTGAAAATATTTTTTAAAAAACAAACTTAAATTTTTTTTTAGGGGGAGGGGGGTGGGGGGGGGGCTGGTTAGGGGAGGTCGAAGGTAGGGGTGAAAAAATGAAATTTTGAAGTTAAATATATTTTTTTAAAACAAACTTAAATTTTTTTTTGGGGGTGGGTGGGTTGGGTCGAGAGTAGGGGTGAAAAATGAAATTTTAAAGTTAAAAATATTTTCTAAAACAAACTCAAATTTTTCTTTTAGGAGGGGGGTGTAGGAGGCTGGCCGGGGTAGGGGTGGGGGTGGGGGGTTGAGGATCGGGGTGAAAAAAATAAATTTTTGAAGTTGAAAATATTTTTTAAAAACAAATTAATTTTTTTGGGGGTGGGGGTTGGGGGGGGGGGCTGGCGGGAGGGGGTCGAGGGTAGGGGTGAAAAAATAAAAATTTGAAGTAGAAAATAATTTTAAAAAACAAACTTAAATTATTTTTTTGAAAGGGGTGGGGGCTGATGGGGGGGGGGGGCGTAAAAAAATAAAAAATGAAATTAGAAATATCTTTTAGAAACAACTTTTAATATTTGGGGGGTGGTGGTGGTAGGGGGCTGGGAGTAGGGGTGAGGGTGGGGTAAAATAATTGAAGTTAAAACGTTTTCTAAAAACAAGCTTTAAATTTTATTTTATTTTTGAGGATGGTTTGAGGGCAGGGACAAAATAAATTAATTTTTTCAAAAAAAATAAATTGTAATTTAAAGTTGGAAGAGAGTTTTGGAAAATATTTTCCTTAAGTTTTAAAGGTAAGTCATTTTCCTTAAATTTAAGAAAAATGAATTGATTTGAAAAATATAAAATGTTTTTCTTCATACCAAATACACCCTTAGTTAGCAAAATTATATTGTCATAGATGATAAATATTTTTTAATATAACATATTTATGTGATTTACCTGTTAAAGATTGCAAATTTAAGAGGCAAAAATCCCAATTGGGCCATTGGTGCTAATGACCCTATTCCCAGCCCGACCCGCCTTACTCATTCAAGCTCTTCTCTTTCTCCTCTGGCGGCAAAAGTTGCAGAGCTGAACTCATTACTCTGTGGATCGGTTTCTTTTGTTGCAAAGTATAAGAGATGCCCAAAGGTTTATTTCTTCACCTCAATCCCGTTTTCATCATTACTAATTAATTTTTGAGAAAAGTTAAGATTGTGTGTGTTTTCAGAGCTTCCTGGATTTTTCTATGATGCTGAGAAGAACAGATATTTCCCTATTAAGGGTCCGATTCCTGGTTCTTCTAAGAAACGAAAATCGCCTTCACCTATAGTCTCTACTAAGGTAATTATCACCTATTTTTGTAAGAGGTTGTTTGGGAGTTGATTATAAGAAATATTATACATGTCTTCGATCCTGTATAAGTAATACCATGTTTGGTAGTTGATTATAACTGTATATAAAATTAATACGGTATTTGGTAGTTGATTATGAGTATGTGTAAAATTACTATGGTATTTGGTAGTTGATTATGACTATGTATAAAATTAATATGGTATTTCCTTTGCAATTTAGAAACCTGCATAATTAATACATGTATAAGTTATGTATAAGTTATGAAGATGGAATAACAAATTCATGAACAACTAATCTCTGCACAACTAATTTCTGTGTAAAATAATACATAAATTTCCTCGTGACTAATTCATGTATTACTAATATCTGCATAACTGTAGCCAACTACCAAACGACCCCTAAGAGTTTAAGTTGGTTAAATCCTAAATTTATGTAAGGCGAGCCTTAAGTCGATCAACCTGACCGTCTGGATCAATTTTGACTGCATAAACCCAACGACAACCAACAGTAGATTTACCTGCAGGAAGGGAGACAAGCTCCCAAGTACCACTCCTATGCAAAGCATACATCTCATCAACCATAGCCTGCCTCCATCCAGAATGAGAAAGTGCTTCACCTGTAGTCTTAGGAATGGAAATAGAGGACAAAGACGACACAAAGGCATAATGGGGTGATGATAGACGATGATAACTTAAGAAGGTATAATGTGGGTTAGTATTTTGAGTGGATCGTATACCTTTTGAAGTGCAAACGGTTGGCTAGGAGGAGGCAAGTCCGCAGTAGGAGCAGGGTCCGACACATGACATGAATCATCTGGGACTAGGGCTGGACGTGGACGCCGATGATAAGTTAGTAGTGGTGGCACTACAACTGGAGATGTAGACCTATTGACTGAGCAACCTCAATACCTAGAAAATACTTCAATCTGCCAAGGTTTTTAGTCTGGAAATGCTTAAAGAGATGTTGCTTCAAATCGGTGATACCGTCTTGATCATTATCGGTGATAACAATATCATCAACGTAAACAACCAAATAGATACATCGACTTGGTGCAGAATGCCGATAAAACACAGAATGATCAGCTCCACTACGAGTCATGCCAAACTGCCGAATTTCTAGTAGCCTTGTATGTCGATTGCGTAGGTTACTCTATGGTCTGAAATAGTCTGCTCGAGCTTGATTTGGGAAGTTCAGCAAGTGTAAGAACTAGAAACAATGTCTGCCTTTGCTCTTGTTGCTTTTCCATGTTTGTATTTGTAGGCATCAACGTTTCAAATTCCTCCATGACTGCCTGTACTTGTCCCAAGTAAGTAGACATCGGATTCTTGTTTCTTTAAGTTGGTCATCCGAGATATCACATCATAGAATCGAGATATGTCATTAGTGTATAAAGCACGTGCCTTTTCCCAAACTAAATAACATGTCTGGAATGGGCGAAACAAGGGCATCAACTTAGAATCAATAGAGCGCCAAAGGAGACTACATAATTGGGCATCCACTTTCTCCCATTGTGCTTTGGCTTTTGCACCTTTGTCATTAGACTTTGTCTTTTCATCTACCACGCAAGCATTGTTTGTTAAGTGATTTTGAACACCTTGACCCTTACACCACAACTCAACTGAAGAAGCCCAAGCTAAATAGTTTGAACTTCCCATTAATGGTTCTGAAGTAATTATAAGGCTACTTCCAATCCCCGTATTCTTGGAGCCAAAAACATCACACCCGAAAGACATTTTTTCGAAATTTGTCTTGAAAAGAGTAAGAAACTCGCCGGAAACTGCTACAGTGGTCTGAAAATTTTGGAAGCTGCCGGAATCTGCCCACAGGTGGCCTGAAAATTCTGATTTTGCCGGAAACTGCCCTACAGTGGTCTGATTTTGCCGGAAACTGCCTGAAAATCACCGGAACCTTAATTCCGGTGATCAGATCTGGAGAAAACTGAGTGAGTTCTGATCGGAAATACTGGACGACCCAAACAGAAGAAAAAATTCTCGAAAAATTTGATCGGAACAGCCCTCAGCCAGATCTCGCAGGAAACTACAACCTTCGATCGGCGCGTGAAAGCGCGTGGGTTGATATTTTCCGGTGATTCTGGCTGGGGTTTGGTCGCGGGAGCTTTCCGAGCCTCGTGGTGGTGTTGATTTTCCCACAACACCCACAGAAAGAAAAAAAAATAGAAAATAAAATTGACACAAATCAGACCCAACAGCCACCGGAAATTGACAAACGGTGACTTGTTTGTTCTCACCGATACTCTGATATCATGTGAGAAATATATGGGGAAAATATTATTGAATTGTGCATCTAAATTGTTACATAGAGACCCTATTTATAGACACTACATTGGAATCCTTTTCTAACTAGGATTCCTATTCTTATTCCTATTCCTATTCCTATTCTAAGTAGGAAATACTTATTTCTATTCTAACAGCAATAATAGTGATGTAATAGCAAACTGTCGGGCAAGGCAACCATTTGAACATATTCTATTATTGGTAGAATGCAAATTTGCTAGGGCAAGCATTCTTTGAGTTCAGTTGCATTATGTTGCGAATTTATCCAAGTACTACCTTTTTCTTGTAATTTCGGTTGATTCTGAGAAATATGATTAGTGAGGATTCATATAGTTGGCACAACTTGCTTGAGGTTGAGCCATAGTTTTTGTTGTTGTTCGCTTGTAAACTAGATATACCACTTGTTTTAGTTTTACCTCTGTTTTTAATTTGTTTTAGGAGAAGAAAGCTATCTTTGGAAATTTAGAAAGAGCAAAAATGGCTAGAATCCCTTTAATTTTGTCTTTCTTGCGTTGATCATTGTAAAAGTTTAATACACTGGAATGAAGATTTGTCAGGTTGCTTCTAAAAAATGAACTATGTTGAGGAAATTTTTTGAAGCATGGCTAGTTGTTACTTCTACTAGTGCCTCTATTCTATTTTACGTGATGGTATTTGATTAAATTTGGAGTTCAAGATGTTGATTTGATGTCCATTTCATTTTATACGACAATATTTAACTAAAAACATGGATTAAGAAAGAAAAGAAGACATTTGACACATAATCTAAATATAGTAACATTCACATTAACATTCAAAAAGTACCCTTAGATTGTATGGTCTTCAACATGCCACATTTTATAAATTGGGTCAAAATGAGATTCTTTTTTTGATAAAGGTAAAGTTAAAAAAAAATAAAAAATTTATAGGTGATAAAGGAGTATTATTGATGTAAACTAGCATAAATGTATTGCTAGTGAAAAGTACATCCAAACATGAACTTCACTGTCTGTATAAAGAACTGAGAAAGGCAATAATGGAATCCAACTCTCAACACATTTTCCATGACCATGTTGTACCAAAAACCATGTGAGGTTAACAATGCTATCTTTCTTGTCTTCAAAAACTATGTGTGGCTTGCAATGTCGAAATCAGATGAGCCATTTTCTATGAGAACCTTTATGTGGGTCATTTGGAATGAGAGAAATAGGAGAGCTTTTGAAGGGGTCGCTCAAGACACTGTTGAACTGCAAAATAGTTTATTTTCTTTAGTCTCATTTTGGTGTACCCATGAGGCGCCTTTTTAAATAGGGATCTGGTCTATGTTGTTGAGAACCATGATTTAGGTGTAGATTCTCTCCTTTTGGTATACTTCTTATATACCAGGTTTCTCCCCCTCTTTTTGTTAATAATACATTTACCTGACAATTTCTTTTTGACAATGTAAAAGGAGAAAAGCAGATGCAAAAATTTTCATTTGAAAAGAAAAAACATGAACTGTCCAAGATATTTTGTATGAAAATGGAAGAGAATAAATAAGATATCATCACCATAAGCAAACAAGATCTAAGAAGCAGACGGTTTATAACTATCCTAGCAATCAGGATGCATGTATCAACAAGGGGATGCTTTAATTGATAAGCGCTAAGTGTATCAGAGAGGAGAGAAGATGGAAGAAAGCTCTTAAATATGTGATTAATCTTGATTTATTAGCAAAGTCTTTGATAGAATTTAACGGAGAGCACACATCAGTTAGGTTGAGGTCACTTGTATTGATGGATATAGGGAGTCGAAGAAGCTCTGGTGTGCAGTAGATGAAAGTTTTCATTATAAGTGTCATGCTATTGGTAGTGTTATATAATGTACACAGTCCTAGTCATGGACCATTTCTGTGAACAGCGGAAAGGAGAAAAACACTTTAATTCCTCTGTGTCGAATTGTTATCAAATGGTATTTTCCATGTGAATTTCAAGCATAAGAGTTTGGGCTAGTGCACTAAGCTTGTATATTCTGGTGCCCTCGCCCTGGAGAGGGTCATATGCGTGTAACCAATTATTATTGCGTGCAGAGAGACATTGTGGCCACTTGCATCTTTTTACTTGGTCATAATGAAGGAACTATTATTGCATTCCCTCTGTCGCTTCATGTGTATTTGATTATAGAGGCATTTTCACCAGGTTTCCAAAGCTTGATATTCACATTTATCTTGGAAAATATTGTTTTACAGTTGGTGAACCAGACTGCATTTTTCTTTCTTTGCCTTCAATTAGGGTGCTAATTTAACTGAATCCTTCTTACACTGTAGGAGAGAGACAAAGGGAAATGCATGAAGTCAAGGAGCAATAAGTTACTCCATGTTAGAGAGTTGTGCGGTAAAGTCATTGCATCCAGAAAAGGGAAACTAAATTTTCAAATGGAATTCCTGAAGAAACAAGCATCATACCCTCAGGTATGCTCCGTGCACCTTTAATCTTTGTGTTGACTTCATTTTTCGTGTCCTTGACATTGTATATAAATCTGGAAATAGCACCTAGTTGAGCTTTATGGTGAAAGAGAAAAAAATTACCCAAACATTGTTCAATTTATACTAGATTCTAGGTAGGTATTATGTTTTCTCACTTTTGCTACCAAACAATGTATAAAGTTGCGCAAGTTTTAATACATGAATAGCTCTTCTCTAACCAACAACCAAATGACTCCTAGTGTTTCATTCCTTTGATGCCACCAATGAAATGCTTGCTGGAATTGTACTCCAAACCTTTCGATATCACTTGTCAAGCTTTTGGATGGACCAACTCCGATAAGCAACTTGAGAGATTTTGGCATCGCATACATGGTATTAAAGATATTTTTGATGTGTTCCATAACTATGAAGCAATTGAACAGTGTAAAAATAAGTAATTTCTGTTCTTGATATCGTTAGAACAGATATACAGCTGCTTCATAAGACCATCCCCCTCCTCTGAAGATTGGATTGTAAGCTGAGCACAGTGAACTGATGTCCAGCTTAAATAGTCTACCTTCAGGGGTGCTTTGCTTATCTCCAAGACTCCAAGGCGAAATCATATTAGGGGAAGTCTTTTGTTTCGGAGAAGTTTAGCAAGTCGTTACAGTAAAGGTTCCATTACTATCTGCAACCCATCTCAGAGAATCAGTTTGTGAAGACAATTTTGTCAGATCTAGCTTCTTGACCAAAGAGGCACATGTCAATTACCCAGTCATGGCAATTCCTTCTAAGATTCATCTCCCTCTGGCATCAGTAGTAGTTGCAAGGCTGTCAGGGAATTCTTCTTACGGAAATATGCCTCATCTATTGCTTATTTCAAAATGGTTCTGATTAAGAATCCTCCCATTGGCTTCTTGTGTGCTTCCATAAACCAATATCACATGTAGTACAAGCAACATTGGGTGCACCACGGATTGAGAATATCATGTTTGGTTTGGTCATTCCATACTTTGTCTTGATCTAGATTGCAACTCCATAGCCATTTCTGAAGGAAACTATTTTTTGTTATCTTTAGATTTGATCCCTAGGTCCCTTTTCTTCCCTTTTATCACCTTTCTCATTTTACTACATGGAAATTCTTGCCTATTTCCTTCCCATAAGAATCTCCTCTGATTTTATCCAATTTCTTTACTACTTCAGGAATAGGAAATACATACATAATGTAAGTTGAGATACTGTCGAATACACTGTTTAGCGTTTGTCTACCCTCATGGTGACAAATCCATCTTTTCCAGGTTGACAGTTTCTTTTCAAACTTCTCCAGAATCCCATTCCAAGTGGTCGTAGCTTTGTGTTTGTCCCCAAGGAAAGAAATCAAAGCATTGCCAAAGTATGTTCCGTACATCATTCTCTATGCCAGATCATAGTTTAGAGACAGCTTCAAAGACAAGTAGGACAAGCTAATAAATTTGACTTGTCTTCATCAGCTCACAGAAAATTAGAGTATCTTTTGTATGATGTGAGATATTGGCTGAATGCTTAAGTCTCTTAGTTATTCCCACTATAAAGGCCTCTATATCTTCTCCAATGCTACCTTCAGAATCAGTCCCTCAAATCAAAATATAAAGGAAAAGAGATAAGAAATTGTGCTATCTCAACCCCAACAACAAGCAACAACATACCCAGTGTAATCCCACAAGTGGGGTCTAGGGAGGGTGGTATGTACGTAACCTTACCGACTCACCCTGCCTTGAGAAGGTGAGAGGTCGTTTTTGATAGATTCTCATCTCAAGTAAAGCATCTCAAAAATCAAGTATGTAAAGCAAGTACAACAGTGAGGAATCCCTACTCCCTACTGAAAACAATGGAGAAGAGAACAATAACAACAACAACATACGAGTCCGGAGCCAAAAGGGCAACAAAACTTTTTATCAAACCAAAAGGGCAACAAATTTAGACGCCGTTCAATTCCGTTTAAATCAGAGTTCCCGCCACAAGGCACGGATACCCATGTGAATTGTAAGGCGCAATAGCTTTTGGCCTTGTAAGGCTCAGCCGCCATGTGCCTTACAAGGCGCATGGGTGTCCGAGTTTTGCAGCTTTTTTTTTAAAAAAATAATAATTTTGGTTTTGTGAATTGAGTTGCTAGACTTCCATTCTTTAATCTTAAGAGCATTATCTTCTAACTGATCTCTACAAAGTTCATTCTCTCATAGTAGTTTCAGGCCAACATCAATCAACATTCTTCTGTGGAAAACTCATTTCGAAGTACTCCCAGTTCAAAGACCCTGTTTCTTCATTATCTATTTTCCGCATAAATTCGCCTACCCAGAATGTTTACTTATGGAATACTATCATTAGAGCCATGACCCATAATGGGTTATGGTCTAAAGCATTAGACTTTTAAGCCTGATAATTGTGCATTTCCTACGATTATTAATTCGTGTGGCAGTTTATTGGATTTTGAAATGGTGAAAATTGTGCATAATGATGTTTTGGAGATGGGGTTTGGATCAGATTTGTATATATGTAATGCTTTGTTGACTTTGACGAATTCTTCATTGATCAAACTTAAACAACACACTTTTGAATCCACTAATTAATTAATTTATTTTCACAAAAAATAATATGACAAGTATTTTAGGAGAAACAGTTTAATGGTCGAAATTGTAGTTATTTTTATCACACACTACAAAAGGGATTTTATTATAAATAAAAATAAAGAAATAACAGTGATGTGTCTTAGTTCATTATAAGAAGGAACAGTGTTATTAAAAGCGAAAAGCGCAAAAAAGCTCTAAGGTCCGTGGGGGCTTTAAGCGCAAATAAAGCGTGGGCTTTAATGAAAAAAGGCGCAAAGGGAGAAAAACATAAAATGTGTTTGTTTAGTCCAAGACTAATAATTATAACCATGAATGACAAATATATGACCAAAGAAATTGAAAAAAAAATATGATAAAGTTAAATATCAATTGTTTAGTGTCACTTCTTCATAAGAGACTCATTGACAAGGAAAAGTTTGTCTTAGAACTTTGATGACGACACTGAAGCGCACATAAAGCGAGGCGAAGCGCTCAACACGTTTTGAGCCTCGCTTTAGGGCTTAAGCGCGCTTAAAGCGCGCCTTTGGAAACACTGAGAAGGAACTAGGCATTGAAAGAATTTTTTTTAAAAAAAAATACATAACTAAAGATTTTTCAGAAAGGCTTAAAGGTGTTAGAATGAGTTTGTCAAATGTATTGTTATTTTGTCAAATTAGTAAGCTTAATGTTATTTGGAATTTATAGTTTAAATTTGAGTTTGTTTGAAATAAATTTGAATTTTGAACTAAGTGTTAATTATTGTAATTCATAGAGTAAATTGAAGCTCGACTAATTTAGATTTACACTGCATAAGGTTCTATTTGAAAGAAAATGCTCTCTATTAAGAATTTTTTCATATCCAAAACTCGAACCCAAGCCATCACATCTCGGCCAGCCATCTTGTAGGTTCTCTAAGCACGTATCGGTATTTTAATGATGGATGTGCCGACCTAAACATCTCCAAATGGCAATAGAATTTTGTCAAATGAACCCAAAAAGTTAAAAATTTATTTACTTCAAGTCAAATAAATTGAAACGGGAAAAGTATTAGCCAAATCGTCAGTAATTTCCTGGATGAAGTAAAAACAAACGTGAAGTCCTAATATTACTGTGTAAGCATGATACAATCGTGATACATAAATAAGTGGATAGGCAAAGAAATAAAGAACTTTTTTTTACCCTAAAGAAACATAACTTGAATTTATTTGATTACCTACCTAACAAGTGGTGTCACAAGTTACACGACGAAAATTAATTTATGGGACCTAAAAATAATTGAATAAAGAAGTGGAGTTAATGAACTTTTTTCTCTTTGGCAGACTTGGATGGTTCTTGTACTCTTGGCACAATATTAAAAATAATTCAATTAGTAAGTCATCAACATACCTAGCAACTCAATTCACAAAACCACCAATTTTTTTCATTTTTATTTTTTTAAAAAGCTGCAAAACGCAGTCACCCATGCACCTTGTAAGGCTCATGGCAGCTGAGCCTTACAAGTCGCATGGGTATCCACGCCTTGCGGCGGAAACCCTGATTTAAACGGAATTGAACAACGTCTAAATTTGTTGCCCTTTTGGTTTGATAAAACATTTTGTTTCCCTTCTGGAATTTTCGAAAAATTTTGTTGCCCTTTAGGCTCCGGACTCAACAACATACCCATTGAAATCTCACAAGTGGGGTCTAGGGAGGGTAGAATGTACGCAGACCTTAACACTACCTCGTGGAGGTAGAGAGGCTGTTTTCGAAAGACACTCGGCTCAGATGCAGCAATTCCAAATACAAAGAAGAAAATATAGCAAGTCATAAGGAAACGGTGCAAAGTCTACCAGAATGGAGCAACAACAACAAAAATAGTGCAATAATCAGAACACAATAAACAACATACTAGGATAGAGTATTGAAAACAATAATAAATAGTGATGGATATCAAAACAAGAACTACAATAGTACAACTACCTCCTTGAAGTTGTCCTGATGTGACCATTGAAGTCTCCCCCAGTGTATAGCTTCTAGATATGCTGAATACCCCTCACAACTTCGTCCAAATCTTCCCAAAATCACTTTTTAACCATATCGTTCAAGCCCACTTGTGGTGCGTATGAACTATTTACATTCAAGGTAAATTCTCCGGTGACTAGTTTAATCGTCATCATCTTGTCGTTCACCCACATGACTTCTACCACTAGCTCCCCGAGTTCCCTATCTACTAAATGCCTAAGCCATTCATGTTCTGTGAGGCTCACATCTCTAGCCATTTGGTCTCTTGGGCACAAGCTATGTTGATGTTCCTCTTCTTGAGAATCTTTAGTAACTCTGTAGACTTCCCCCTCAAATCCTTATGTTCGAAGACCTAATTCTCAGCCTAGTGACTCCCTTGTGACCCTTGACCCTCACCCTCAGCCCCAGCCCACCGACATGACCTTACTCTACCATCATTCACCAAAGCCACAATAAACTATAAACTGCTATAATGCAGATTTTACTAGGCTTACACTATGAAAACCCAGTCAAAATAAAAGAATGAAAAACTAAATAGCACACAGTTACAGAATCTGACAAGACTAAAAACAGTTGTGAACAAGAACTGGAAACAGAGGCAGAATTGAACAAAAATCTAGAAAGCAATATGCACAGGAACTATAAAACAGAGGTAGAATCGAGCAAGAAATTAGAAAACAAATATTCACAAGGACTAGAAACAAAGGCTGAATCGCGCAAGAATTAGGAATTGGATGATAGAACCTGAGATGTCAATCAATTTCCAGTGGTGCACGCGCCTCCCCTCTGCCTCACATTCCTCTCTTATGTCCGCCGGAACTGTGTTAGCTGAACACTGTTACCCCTGAAACTTGAAATAAACGCAGCAAACAAGGAGAACAAAACAAAGAAAATGGTGCTCTGATCAAATTAGCCGAATCCATGAAGTCAAATTGCTCACAGCTGGTACAAACATGACCCAAATAGGTTGAATTTTCTTGTCAACAAAAAACCATGACCCAAATAGGTTGAATTTTCTTGCCAACAAAAAACCATTTCAATATTGTTCTGTTAGATTAAAAAATTCTTTAAAGAACAGGTTAAAAATTAACTAAAGGCTGGGTTTATTAAAATGGGAATCTTGGAATTAGATCACTGTCAAATGCACGACCGAGAATTGATGATCAAGAAAGCTGTGAAAAAATAATTTAGCTAGGGATGACTCCAAACGCTGAGTTCTCTAGCTCTGCTCGTCGGCAAAAATTGTGGTTCAAGGTCATTCAATGGAAAATAGAGGTGTCTAAGGGCTGGTGTTACGGTGGTGGATCAACGAGGAAGTGAAGGGGGTGGTGTTTTACGGTTGAAGAGTTCGACGGAGCCGGTGGTTTCAATCCAGCAAGAGAATGAGAAAGACAGAATTCCTCATTAGTTGGAAAGGAACCCTCAGGACAATGAAGATACATACTTCATCCCGTTAATCCACTTTTCCCCAAAACCCATGACTTCCATCATATACAAAAGGGAACTCTAATTTACATTGTCGAAGACCTTCTTAGCAGTTAGCATCCTATTTACCAAGGAGAGACACCTTATCTTGCCTCACCTCTTGTCCCGGCGTTTATTGGAAACTAAGATGGTATCTGTAATCTGCCTTGCAATGACAAACACCATCTAAGCGTCAAAACGAGTTTAATAATGCAACACTTTAGCCTCTCCAAGTAATTTTGCTATAATTTTGTATATGCGTTGGTCTGAAACCCGTTAGTTTCTTACATTGATTATCATTAGTATTACTCCCTCCATTTCAATTTGTTTGTTTGGTTTTGACTTGACACGGAGTTTAAGAAAGCAAAGAAGGCTTTTGAATCTTGTGGTCTTAAACTAAAGATATGTAGAATGTACCAAAATGTCTTTTAATCTTGTGGTCTTAAACATGCCAAGTGGAAAGTAAGAACTAAAGAATTGCCAAAAAAGGAAACAAGCATTCTTTTTGAAATGCTCTAAACAAGAAAGCTGACAAACAAATTGAAACGGAGGGAACGGAGGGAGTTATTATTATTTTATATCTCAGTACTGTATAAGATGCGTGAAGCTCTTTTTGGAAAATTTTAAATTGATGATAGTGATTCACAGTATTGAGTATGTCCTGCTTTACCCCCAACATTTGGAAAGAAAGTTGAACTTATCTGAAGCCATTGGACCTGGGGCTTTGTCACCTTCACAACATTTCAACGATTCTAATTACCTTTTGTCCTTTTCCTCTAGTATATGTCTTCATCCCATGAATATGAATCTTGTTATATTTATTGTTATATAATCATTTCGCTTTTCCCAGTTCTAGCTTAATCTTTCTTTCTTTCACAATATCCGATTGTTTGGGATTGGTGTTGGATAGAGGGTGTCTTCATCCCATGAATATGAATCTTGTTATTTTTATTGTTATTTAATCATTTCGCTTTTCCCAGTTCTATCTTAATCTTTCTTTCTTTCACAATATCTGATTGTTTGGGATTGGTGTTGGATAGAGGGTTAGATGAGAGTAAGTTTACCAGCAGAATTTCCATCTCTAGGATGAAATTAATTCTTTCATTGGTTTAGTTTTAATGTGTAGGATCTGTGTCCATTCTATTATGACTAACTGTCACCAAAGGTGGGGCTTGTGTGGCGTTTACCTCCTCCTTGATAAATAAGGGAAATATATTGTATCCTTAAGCTTTACCAACTCTTCGTCGTCCTTGTCTTTTGTTATTAATGCGCTATAGTGTTAGAATAGGAATAGGTTTATACAATCCTATTAGAATAAGAATAAGTTTATACAATCCTATTAGAACAGGAATAGGAATAGAAATAGAAATAGGAATACTAAATAGTATCCTACTTGGTAAAGGATTGTATTCTAGGGTCTATAAATAGGGTCTCAATGTAATAATGTAAACAATAACAATTCAATAATATTCTTTTCCTATATTTCTCACATGGTATCAGAGCCTCTACGATCTTGGTAAACAATCAAAGAGCTTCCACTGTCGGCGGGCGGCTATTACTCATATATGCCGCCCGTCCGGCCAATGATTATGTTAGCAAAAGTTGGGTCACCATGTATCTTTCTGGTGACTATTTTCTCATATCTAATTTGTGTAGCACTGTGCCATCATTCCAGTGACTACTTTCTTATATTTAATTTGTGTAGCACCGTGCCATTATTTCGGTGACTACTTTTTCATATTTAATTTGTGTAGCACCGTGCCATCATTCCGGTGACTACTTTTTCATATTTAATTTGTGTAGCACCGTGCCATCATTTCGGTGACTACTTTTTCATATTTAATTTGTGTAGCACCATGCCATTCTTCTGGTGACTACCTTTTTTTTGCATATCTTATTTGCGTAGCACCGTGCATCTCTCCGGACTACTTTTCATATTTAATTTGCGTAGTACCGTGAGTTTTTTTTCCGAACTACTTTCTCATATCTGAGTTGCATAGCACCGTGTGTCTTTTCAGTAACTACTCAGATTTGATTTGCGTATTCCCATTCGTCTTTCCGGTGACTCCTCAAATCAGATTTGCGTAGGGTTGTGCCATCATTCCAATCCTACCCATATTATTTTTCTTTTTCAGTAGGGTCGTGCCATCATTCCGACCCTACCCATATTATTTCTCTTTTTCAATGGGGTCGTTCCATCAATTCGAACTATCCTATATAATTTCTATTTTCTAGTTGGGTCGTGACATCATTCCGACCCTACCCATATAATTTTATTTCTTAGATTGTGACCACTTTTATCCATCAAATCAATACTCCGGCATATGAGCATGTTCCGGCCAATTTTTCGGTGACTTTCTTGTTAAATATTGACACGTCTATTGATTCCAACATGATCCATACACTTTATACTAGATTTTGAGCACTTCCGGCGACTGTTGCATTGTGAAGAAGTCTATATGGAGCAACCACCTAATTTGTTGCTCAGGGGGAGTTTAGTAGCCTTGTATGTTGATTACGTAAGTCACTCTATGGTCTGAAATAGTTTTTGCAAGCTTGGTTTGGAAAGTTCAACACTGTAATTTTATCACTCTCTGTTTTATCGGCATTATGCATCAAATTCAGTATTTCATGAGAAGACCAAGCCCATTGAGATTGATTGTCAAATTTGTGAAGTCGAGTGATCAACTTGCAGATATCTCACCAAGTCCCTCATCGGTCCTCGTGTTAATTACATTTGTAACAAGCTAGGTACATGAATTGTATGCACTAGCTTGAGGGGGAGTGTTAGAATAGGAATAGGTTTATACAATCCTATTAGAATAAGAATAAGTTTATACAATCCTATTAGAACAGGAATAGGAATAGAAATAGAAATAGGAATACTAAATAGTATCCTACTTGGTAAAGGATTGTATTCTAGGGTCTATAAATAGGGTCTCAATGTAATAATGTAAACAACAACAATTCAATAATATTCTTTTCCTATATTTCTCACATGTACTCTATCTGAATATATATGTACTGTATGCATTCAGATTTGGAAGTATGATGGCACACAAAGAATTGTTAACAGTGCTTTGGAGCACTTGACTGTTGATCAAAACACGCCAGAGGGCCTGGTCCAGACTGATATTCTGTTGACAGGTGGCATGAATGGCTCGTTGTGGTATGCTTTCTGTTATAATTGAAGCTAAAAGAATAACTCAACTGGAGTTGGTTGTAACAGTATATTTTATGAGTATGGGTGCAATAATTTGTAGTTGTTTTATAATGAATAACACTATGTGTTGATTGTGTTAATTAAGACTTTAATTTTCCTAGTGTAATTATAGGAATAGAGTATTCCTTATTGTAATTGATTGTCTTAATTAGTTATAGGATTCATTGTACAAATAGCCTTTCTAATGGGATGTAAAGACACCATAAATACAAGAAGTTGTTCTTATTCTAAAATCTGCGTGAGTATCAGAGCCATTGCTGCCTTTTGGGGTGAGGTTTCTTCATTCGCTGCACTAAAGTTCCTTTTCCTCAAAAAGATGTCGAGTTTTCTCCCTCACTGTTACAGTAGCTTTCTGAGCCCTTTATCAGTATTGTGGATAACTAATACCACCACAGGCTTTCCCTACCTTCGGCGACCAAACCCCATAAAACAGATCTGACAAAGACTGCTGTAGGCTCTGCCAACAGTCACAGCTCCGGTAATGCGTCAGCTTCATGCGCCGGCGAGTGACCTTTTTTTGAAGAATTTTTTTCCATTAGGGTTGCAGGCCTCTTCCGACCTCACCCAATCAGCTTTGACTTTTTCTGACCACCGAAGTTAGGGTCCAAGCGAATGGCATGATATTTGTTTTTTTTTTTTTGAAACTGGTAACATTTTGTATTCCTTGGCATTAAGGGATATGCTAACCACCTCCAAAAAGTTGTTACACGGAAAGTAAAAAAAAGTTGGAGATACTTGCAATGCTCCTATGAAATCCATTAGTTGGATCTCTTCATCTATATCCTGTTCTTTACACCAAAAGCCTAAGGAAGTAATTACTTTTTACATAATCTTTTCTATAGTACATTCTTCCCCTTCAAAAATTCTCTGATTTCTTTCTTTCCATATGGTCCACCAAATGCATGCTGGAACTGAGCTCCACCATCTCTTCTGACTTTTGCTGGCTCCCCTTCTAATCCAGCAGATTTGTAGATCTGCTGTTTTTTTCTGGCATGGTCCAGCTGATGTTGGATATGCTGGGGTGAAAAGGGCCCAACCCTGTGCTGTCACTTTACAGTGTAGAAATAAATGCTTGTTGGTCTCATGGTCTTCTTTACACAAGAGACACCTTGATGCAAAATTGATGCCCCTATTTTGCATTGCCTCATGAGTCAAACAAGCTCTTCTGGCTACCCAACCATGTGAAACATTTCAGCTTGGTTGGAGCCACATTCTTCCAGACTGCTCCCCAAGGGCCTAAAGGCCTGCACCTGCTTGCTCTCTCCCCTCCCCACCATTTGTATAGCTTGTTAACAGAGAACTTCCCATCCTTTTGATGAGCCCAAGTCAGTCTATTTGGATCCAAATTAATCCCAGGGCACCCGAGCTTCACCACCTCACCAATTTCCCAGTCATTAAGAAGTCTTCTGGAGACTAGGTTCCACCCATGTGTGGTCCACATCTCCTCTATTCTTTAATCAGGGTTAGAGCTCATGGAAAAGAGTCCAGGGAATAGGTTCTTTAGAATCGCCTTGATTACACCATTTGTCTGTCCAGAACTGTCTTATCTTCCCTCCCCACAAGAATCTTAGTGTTATGTTTTAGCTCTGTCCAGTAATTTCTAATAGTTCTCCACACCCCAACTCCATATGTAGAGATCAATTCATTTGTGCACCAATGGTCTTCTTGCCCATATTTATGATGAACTACCTCTTTCCATAGGGCCTGATTTCATAAACATATCTCCATAGCCATTTGGATAGCAAACACTTGTTCTGTAACTTAAGGTTTCTGACTCTCAATCCCCATTCTTCCTACTCTGTTGGACTGCCACCCATTTAACCAGATTGAACCCCTTCTCAATTTTGTTTCCTTGCCACTGAAAGTTCCTCCTCAAGACATCCAATGCCTTTATCACCTTTCTAGGAATTGGGAACAATGACATAAGTTAGCATAGAATCCAACACTAAATTGATCAAGTTACTCTTCCTCCCAGAGGTAAGTATTGAGATAATGCCAATTCTTTCTCAGACTTTTCTATTATGCCATCCCAGATCTCAATTGCTTTATGTTTGGATCCCAATGGCATACTTTTTCACCTTGCACTTAAGAATGCTTGCCAGGGATTCAATCTGCACAACTTCCTTGATTGGGAACATGCTACTCTTCCTCCAGTTGACTTTAAGGCCTGAGCAAGCTTCAAATATAACCAGAATCACCCTCAAGCAACAAATTTGCGCCTGTTTTACTTCACAGAAAACTACTGTATCATCAGCATACAGTACTTGCTCAAACTGTGGAATAGACCCTAGATTTGTGTTGTGACTTTGCAGTGTGGAATATTTATTATTTTGTGTGTGCTTAGTTAGAAGTTTTATTTATTAATTCAATTACAATATTATTTATTTAAAAACTATATATCAACTATTTTTTACAATATTAGTTACAAATCTATAGTTATTTAATATTTTCAAAAAACAATATACATCTTTACCTAGTGATAGATAAAATTTAATAATCTTTCTTATATAGACACATATTTGTCAAACATTAAGGATTAGTTATTTTGATAAAGATTTAACTGTGAAATTACACTTCTGCAACCACACATCATGTTAGTAATTATATTATGACAAACAAAGAAATCTTTGTAATTACTACTAGACTGTATAATTACTTCCCTAGTAATTACATCAAATCCAATTATGAGGGAGCTTTCCAAACAAACCCTTAATGTTCATGCCAAGTGTTTTACAATCAGATATGTACATTCATGTTTGTGGTTACAATTTCTTTAAGCAGCATGGACCGTCTTTATTAGTTAAAAATTTTGTGATCCATACTTGTTTGATGGATTATTCTTGTTGAAAATTCATAATGGTATGGAACATATTTTCCAATACATTGTTTTGAAGTCTAGTGCGTTCGCAGTATATTTGAAGTTGGAAAGGTTGGACAAGAATTTAATCAAGGGGTAAAATGCTTGCCAGATCGTGTTTGGCCTCTCAAAGACAGATACGGAGAAGGGTATTATGACTCACCAGGACATGTCTGGAGACCTCGAGGAGCTTTTGTACATATGCCATCGAATATATCTTGTATAAAGATGTCCCAAAAGCACCCTGCACCCGTCAGTGATGCTTCTTTAAAGCATATTCTGTATCCTTTTAAGGGTTTAGCAATCAACAGCTTATTGCCTCATAAAATATGTTTTGTTCCTGAGTTCCTCATTGTTATATTGTCCTCTTCAATTATAATAAAGTAAGTTGGCTGGTCTGATTTTTTCTTTGGTGACTCATATGACACATTTGTTTTCAATCCAAGGCTCTAAGCTTTCGATTTGTCGGGTATATAAAATTTTACTTGCCTGTTTGAAATTTAATAAAACTACTTTAGTGTTTGCTGGTGTAATACTTTCTGTTGCTTCTTGTAGATTGGAGTACTAAAGTAGTTAAATTGACCAACTTTTTATTCTTGTAGATCTTCAAATTTGTAAGAAGTTACTGTTAAATTTGGTTTTGGCTCACTGCTCTTCAAAAGTTAGTCTTTCCACTCCACTCTAAAGTAACATGATTGAAGTCGTACATTCTTGTCACATTTTTTTTCCTTTCCTTTTCTTCTGTTTTTTTTTTTTAGAAAGGTAACAAAAATATGTCTGTATTGCACTTGTGAGACTTAACGCTAGAGCTCAGGATAACTACTCTGGGAGCTGAATCATCTGGTGGAACAGTCAACATTCTGAACCTCAGTGAACCACTAGATCTTAATTCAAGTATACCAACTGATAGAACAAGAATTTCTGAGATTGCTTCATTTGAGTGTACAGTTTGGACGGCAGATTGTAGTCATGATCAGAAACAAGCAGTAGTAGGCAAGTTCTTTCCTCCATGTTTGCAGTTACTAAAGTCCCTTTGCTACTCTAGAATTCCAACTTTGAGATTGATTGGCCTTTGAAATGCTATTCCCATGCTGACATTTCCATGTTTTACTCTCATTTGAAGTAAACTCTGCTCTTTTGTGATCCATGTTGTCAAACTTTAATTGTGGGTTGTGTCTATTTAATTTATTTGTCTTGCATGTTTTATTGAAGTTCCAGGAAGAAAAATACTTTTCTTCATTGCTAATTTCTTATATCCTGCTTAATGTTATATAGGTACCAATAGAGGAGCTGCAATGTTGGACATAGAAACAGGAGTGAAATCCTGGGTTTGTCGGTCTAAAAGCGACATTTTCTCCATACAATTTGATAATTCAGTAAATTTCTCATACTCCATCCTTTGTGCTTTAATTACTTATTATTGCATTGTGTAAATTGCAATTAGTTGTTCAAGAGAATTTATAATCTTGCAACTCTTCATATTGACAATTGGTTTACAAGATTTTATAAACCATGAAGATGACAAATACCGTCGTCTGTTAGTGAACTAGTAATCCAAATTGGTCATGCTGATTAACTTTTGTTTCTAGAGTTACATAATTAATCAATCCAAATATATGCACATTATCATATTCATTTATGTATTATTGAAAACTGAACTGTTGGATTTTTTTAATCTTCTTGCTTTTGTGATACACATGGACGTGAATGTAGTATATGCCTAGCTTCTTGCCTTCTTCAAACATGTCTTTCATCTGCAACAAGGTGCTCACTTGATGAATTTTTGTGACATTGGAAATGATAAGCATCCTCTGGAATCATCTGTAACATTTCTTATGCATCCTGGAAGGTGAAGTTTCTGAAATTGTGTTTTCAGAATATTCCTTTTTTTGTATTGCAGGAAAATATTGTTTTATGTGGGCTAAGAAATGGAACAATTTTATCCATTGACACCCGTCAAAAACCAGGAGAATTTTCTGGTAGGCTTCCTCAGAATAGAATTCCGTGCCATTCTAATGGGTCTTCTAGTAGGTTTAAAAGCTCTGCTAGAGATTCCTTCCAGGTATTAACTGCTTTCGTTAGGAGCGTGTGTGTTCTAGAAAGTTCATTTTGGAAGAGGACCCAATTGTTGGGAACTTTCGAATTCAATTCTGAAACATAAAGTTATATCCCCCTTTATCGTCAGGCAATCTAACATTCATTTAGAAACAACAAAGTTAGTCATTTTAAGTGGATGTCAACCAAATATAAAATTACATTCATTTACGCTGAGTATGTTGTTATAATGGGAGACAAGCTAAAAACTAAAGGCATCATTAGGAGCACTTGATTAGGAGTTTTAATCATTTGAACATGTTTAATTTACAGAAACTGGTAGTTGTCCCAAATGTTTCAACAATGGAAGTATTGAACGTGAAAAATTTCCTTTTTAGTTCAATAAGATACCAATTATTTCGTGGTATTAATATCAGTTTCATTTAGGTAGGACCTTGGGGGCTATGAATGTGACAGAAGAGCTTACATCATTTGCTCATGTTTAATTCATTGGATTGGTTTTCTCAAATGTTGCAGTAATGGAATTATTTAATGGGAAAATTGTTTAGAAATTTCAGAAAGACTCCCTAATGCTGTCTTCTCGTTATGAAAATCAGTTTTCATTTAGGAATGGCCTCATAGGCTATGCATTTTCTGCTCTACTCTTAGATTTTCGTGATTGAAGATATTGTGAGAGCTCCATATTTGTTAGATGAACTTAAACAAATTGGTGGATATCTTTTGTCTATGCAGATCAAAGGGAAGATGTATCACTGCAACACAATATCTATGCCTTCTTCTGTATGTTGGTTAGTGAGCTTTCTTTGCAATATTACATGAGGACTTTTCATTTTTTTTGCTTAATTTAATAATAAATTCTTTTCTTGACTTTTTCTCCCTTTTTCTGATATTGCAGTTTGGCATCTTTGAGACTTTATGATCAATGTTTCCTGGCAAGCTCTATGGACGGATCGGTTAGTATTTAATGTGATTCCTTTGGCTATATACTTGTTTTCTCAGCTGTTTTCGCAATCCTTGATGATGAGCATTATCTTGATGCTTGAAATCCCACACAAGTCTTCCCTTAATGTTTGTGTTAAAAGGGCTCCAGAAGAATTGATCCTTTTTTCTAGGGTAATAGCTGGAGACAGTTCATCTCTTTGCACATGATGTAGTTGTGGCAGCGGAAAATCCTCTTTGGGAACATGCTTTATTGAGATTTCAAAAATACATAATGTAGTGGTGGGCACCTGAGTCTCAAATTATCGCATTTCCTTAGATGCCACGAAGCTTATGATTATTATCATTACTAGTAAAATTGTCCACGCTTCGCGCGAGAATTTAGTATCAAAAATTTATAAAATAATACTTAAAACCTATCAGGTATTAAAACTAAAACATTATAGTATCTTACATACAAGATTACGTAGTAACAAACATTAATAATGTAAAGGAAAATGAAAATTATTACTACATCTTATTATTTAGCCTTAATAACATAAGCATATTTTTATAAATTAATGATTGTAAAATACATACCAGGATCTGTAACATAAGCAATAGTGTCAATGGGCCACTCAACATGAGCAAAGTATACAAATATTTAATTGTGAAGAAGAAGAAGAAGAGGAGGAGGAGGTTCAGAATTTTCGTTGTGTTTAAATGAGAGGAAATCCCTCTATTTATAGGCAACAAAGGATAGTGTGAACAAATGTTTATTGTGACTTATCAGAAAGGTTACAACTATTTGGAAAAGTTGCAACCCTTCGAAAAGGTCACAACCTTTCATAAAAGTCATAACTTTTCATAAAAGTCATAACTTTTCATAAAAGTCATAACTTTTCATAAAAGTCATAATTTTTCATTAAAGTTGCAATTCTTCATTAAAGTCGCAACTTTTCATAAAAGTCACAACTCTTCATTAAAGGCACAACTTTTCATTAAAGTCACAACTTTTCTTGAAAGGGAAGGCTAATTTTGTAAATAAATAAATTAAAAGGGAATTCCGGTTTGTGGTGGCGCCACATAAGCGGGCCTAAGTTTCTCTTTTATATATATATATATATACTAGTAAAATTACCCGCGTTTCGCATGGGAATTTAATATCACGAAATTTATAAAATAATACTTATTATCTTACATACAAGATTACGTAGTAACAAACATTAATAATGTAAAGGAAAATGACATTATTACATCTTTTCATTTATCCTTAATAACATAAGCATAAATTAATGATTGTAAAAATACATACCAGGATTTGTAACATAAGCAATGGTGTCAGTGAGCCACTCAACAGGAGCCAGAAGCAAAGTACACAAATGTTTAATTGTGAAGAACAAGAAGAAGAGGTTCAGAATTTTCGTTGTTTTAAAATGAGAGGAAATCCCTCTATTTATAGACAACAAAGGGTAGTGTAAACAAATGTTTATTGTACCTTATCAGAAAGGTTACAACTATTTGGAAAAGTTGCAACCCTTCGGAAAGGTCACAACCTTTCATAAAAGTCACAACTTTTCATAAAAGTCGCAACTCTTCATTAAAGTCGCAACTTTTCATAAAAGTCGCAATTTTTCATTAAAGTCGCAATTTTTCACAAAAGTCGCAACTTTTCATAAAAGTCATAACTTTTCATGAAAGGGGAAGGCTAGTTTTGGAAATAAATAAATTAACAGGGAATTCTGGTTTCTGGTGGCGCCACGTAGGCGGGCCTAAGGTGCTCTTTTATAAATGATATATGATATATGATATGATATATGATTCTTTAGCTTCTGTTAGCTCTCCATAACTTTAAGAAGCAGAGACAGTGAGAGACTACTGCCCATTGATCGTGGTGTGCTGGTATTACCTAGTATTTTCTTTGCGTCATTATTCAACTCTTTATGTTTTTCTTTACAAGGTCTCTCTTTGTTGCATTTCCTTCTAAAAAGTTTCCATTGAATTTAAGGTCCAACAGTATGCTAATGGTTTTAGTTTCTCAATTTGGAATAAGAGGACTGATTTTATTGTAACTGTAGTTTCTAAGCTGATCTATGTTTCTAGAATTTTTGGCCTTAAAACTTGGTTTCTTGGTTTATCTTTACATTTTCATAGTTTGAGATGACTTCTTGTTTGCGAATATCTGCATTTTCTCTTCATAGTTTGAGCTTCTTTTTTTCTCTAAGAGATGGGCAGGGAGTCCCCGATAAGAACAATTAATTCCTGCTTGTGCAAGGGGTCCTTTGGTTGCTGAACAAGTTATACCAGGATTATAATACATGGATTAAATAATGACCAAATTATTTTAGAGGATATACTTTTATTGGTAAATGTTTTGTTCATTGGACTAAAAATGGGATATACGGGATATAATATAAAACATGAGTTTGTTTCACTCTTAGATAAATTAGGAAAAACTTTTATTTTGAATTTTAACCTTGATTTTTTAAAGGAATTTGGGAGAAATGCTTTGAAGAAGGGCATCTTTATCATTTTGGTATTCTATCTCGTGGTCAGTAATCCTGGGATTGTTATTACATATTGAATGTGGTATAAAAATAATACCATAATTGTGGTATAAATAATCCCGAGATTGCTAATTCTAGAATAAAAAGTTCAACCAAATGCGGGATAAATTTCTCGTATTTTTGTTATCCTTTATCCCACAAGCCAAAACGACCCCTGAATTTGTTATCAAAAGCTGAATGGTTTATTATGGTAGGTGAGTGTGTTATGCACTCTCTATTAAAGTGCATATAATTGAGGGATTTGGCTGATGAGAAATAATTCACTTAATTAGTCTTGTCTTGTACATCTGGTTTATTTGTAACATTGGCATATTTCTAGATAAAGCTTTATGATCGTCGTCTAATGAGGGGTGCAATTCAATCATATGAGGGAAATAAAAATTCTCATAGTCGGATACAGCTTGGAGTTGACCCATCAGAGATAATGGTCATGTCAGGTAACTATGGCTTTATTGACGCTTGTATTTTGTTTCTCAGTACAATAGAAAAATGTGAACCACTTGCTAAAAGACACTCTTGTTAGGTGGAGAGGACTATCATTTGCGGCTATGGAGTATCAAATCTGGTGAACTGCTATTCGATGATAAATTCATGGATTCGATCCCCTCAGTTGTACGCTGGCCAAAAACTGAAGGTATTACCCGCCTTTGCTTGGTCCATATCCCTCCAGTAATACATGTTTTCTGTCCTGTGATACAGAATGTCCAATTTCTGACAGGTCTCCTAGGAATGGGAAAACAAATCCAAGGTGCATGGCTTGGATCTGAAGAAGGGTTGTTTTTCATGGACTGGCCTTGAGGAAATGTCTTCTTGGTGGTCTCTTACTTGGAATATTCAGAACTTTGCACATATTAATGTCAGCTGGTTTTGATTAGGGATGGCAATGAGGCGGTGCAGTTTTGATGTTATGTGGGTGTAGGGCGGGTTGTCTTCTTTTATTTATTATGCTATTTCCCTGTCATATTTCGTCGTTATTTTAATGTAATGCTTCTCCGTTAATAATCAATTAATTAGTGCTGTTGTGTTATTTTTTCTTGTAAAAGCTCTAATTTTTCTACCTTTTTTCTTTGATATTTTAAATTATTAGGCTAATAATAGCTGTTGATATGAATATTTGGAAAACCCAGGTCATATTTTTTTGTATTTGATCACTTTCTATGGGTATTATATATGTCAATAAATCTAAATTGAGATTTGCATCATGCAATTGAAGTTTCTATATTTAATTTCTGTTAGAAATATTTTCTTTATATCTCTTGGCTTCAGTTCAATTTGTGTTAAAGTTGTGTCATCAATGAGTCGTTCCGAATGATTACTTGATCAAACTCTAGTTGTTACGTGAGGTAGGGTGGGTTGAATTCTTTGCTGGTTTATGTGGGTTTGATCCGTAACCATCCTGCTCTGCTCCATTTTCCATCCTAGTTTTGAAAAAATTTATGGTGAGAATTGTTTTTTTTTTTTTAATATTTACAAATATCTCATTGCACAAAGTAAAATAAGACAACAATTACAAAATTAAGGCACGGTGAAAAGTAGTACTAACCTGAAATTATTAGTAGGAGTGTCAAAAGAATATGAAAAATCGATTGAACTGAATCGAATTATGCTATTTTTTCAATAAAATTGTGGACTTTTATTTAAGTGGATAACTGTCCCGAACAATTGGGATGGTCTTTTTAATTTATGAAAAAATTGAAAAAAAATTAACCAAACCAAATAATCTTACATGTATGTAAATATATTCTATATATTAACAATATGTTAAATTTAATATATAAATATATTTTATAACATTTTTCAAATATAAATATAACTTAGGTCCAAGGCCTTTGGTGACTAGACGACTTTGGGTCTTTGCTCTTTAATTAGCCTTTAAAGGGAAAATTACGCAGTTAAGCAAACTTATACTACTTAATTAATCATCATAGCTATAGTTTGCTATAATTACCACTCGCGACTAACATTAACTATTAATTACGTGGCCTGACTTCGAATTTGTTTAATTAGCCATGTTTGTATAATTTACCACATTTGTATAATTCACAACTAACAATTCTTCGTTTGATTTGTGCTTGTATACGATGGTTTGTACTTGTATATGACGACGATTTCCTTTGATTTTTCAATTTTATCACCATATACATTCAATCTTTTTGTGTATAACTTTTTAAAATTTGTATAAACGTGTAGTTTCGGATTTTGTATAATATAAATTATATAATGTAATTTGTTTAATATAATTTGTATAACTATTTAAGATCATATGTTTATGTTTGTATCAATTCGTTATTTTGAGTTTTATCATATTTGTATAATTTCAGACTTTATATTACTCAATTATGCAAAAAACCGCAAATTATACAAACGAGACGCAAATTATCGCTCACCTCTCTCCTCCCTCTTTCAATCTTGGTTGCCAGATATACAAATACATATGTATACAAGTTACATATATACAAGTATCTAACCGATATACATATACAATTCACCTCTCTCCCACTATTTTGCCCTCTCTCGCTCACCTCTCTTTTGTCTCTCCCAATCTCGCATGCCACTCTCCTCCCTATAACATGTAGCTACAAATTGTAATTAGCAAACTATGGTTATGGAGCATAATTAAGCTATTTTTGAGTGGCTATATGCAAAAGTTCCCTTTTACTTAATTAAGTTTAAAATTAAAAGATATTGTAATAGATACTCTATCAAACAATACAGCAAAACCTATCCAAACACTCCTATTAAATATTTAAGATCAAACAATACGGCAACAAGGTTTTACATTCTTGTCTTTTTGGTGAAGAATTAACGTGTTTCTTCAAGAACATATTTGTGAAAGAAATATATTAATAATAGTATATTTGAGGTGATATTTTAAAAGTAAAAAGAAAACGAAATTAACCGAACCATACCAATACCGAAAAGAGACCGATATGATTGAGATGGTTTTAAAAAGTCTAAATTTGGTGATATATTATAAAATACCCGAAAATTTGAAATGGTATAATTTTAAAAAAATAACTGATCGAACCGTAGCATTTACACCCCTAATTATTATGGAAAAAATGTATATAATAGCAAATTATTAATTCAAATTAAATGTTATAACCACAGTTTGATTTGATTGTAACCCGTAGCAAACTGTTGTCATTCGCCTCTCTCCCTGAAATTCTCTCTTGCCACTCTCCCTCTCTCACTCGCCAGTCTCTCCCTAGCCTCTTTCACTTTATACAAACACAAATGTATAAATTGCGTTTCTGTTTGTATAAAGCGAGAGAAAATTGTATATACACATGCAAATACATATATTTTCGTCCTATACACTAATAATTATACAATACAAATCTTCCTCTGTCCAGTTTTGTTTTGTCTTTCTCTCCTTCTCGTTTTATACAAACACAGATTATACAAAATATAATGTATAATTTGTGTTTGTATAAAGTGAGAGAGGGAGAGAGATTTGATATACAAACGTTTTATTTCGATTCAATTGTATACAAATTCAATTTTTTTGCAGATATACAAACACATAAAATTGAATTGAGAGGCTGCCAACGATTTTATACAAATCTGATGCCCCCATCGATTTATACAATCTGATGCCCCCATCGATTTATACAATCTGATGCTCCATAGCAAACATAAAGTTTGCTATGAAGCGCACTTATGCAAACTATAGATATAACATACAAATATGATTTTTATGTTTGCTAAATATGAAAGTTACTTTTTTCCTTGCGTCTTACATAACCTTTATACAAAAAAAGTGTTTGTTTATAAATAAATAATGTCATGCACCCTCTTTAGTTTTGGAAATGGGAAATGTCTTGAGAGACTTGAGGGTAGTTATGTCATTAATTAATTTAATACACGTATTGAAATTTTTTGTATTACTAATACATGAAAATTTATGATATTAGTAATATACACTTCAATAAACAATAAAAATGAATTATTTGGTAGAGTGTATTAGTAAATATAATGCATACATTAACTTCGTATATTAGTATATTGTTTGTATACTTTTTCATCTCTATTGTGTATTGAGATGTGTATTACTAATACATGAAAATTCATAATATTAGAAATGCAAAGACTTTTAATACATATATTAACATGGTTAAAAATACAATTGCCCTAAATGTAGTATCTAAAATATATTATAACTAATGTTACACAATATCCTACACTAAATGTAGTATCTAGAATATATTTTACAACTAATGCTGCACAATATTCTACACACAATGAAGTATCTAGAATATCTTTATGTAATTTATACATGATATTCTACGATCTATCCATCATGCTAATTTCCTCCTCCGAATTGATGTTGGTGGATCAAAATGTATTAATTTGCCTACTAGAAATAGATAAGTTAGTGCGTCATTGATTTTGTAAAAACATCAACTATCTGAAGATCACTGAATACATGTTGAAGGGTAACAATTCTTTCATCTACAAATTTTCTAATAGAATGATAGTTCACCTCAATATGTTTGATTCTTTCATTATAAACTAGATTGTATCAATCCGAATGACAAATATATTGTTAGCATAAAGAGGAGTAGGGCTAGATTAAGAAAATCTAATTTCTATCAGTATACCACAAAGTTCAAAAAATCTCAAAGTTATAGACATTGTTTGATATTCAGATTTGGTTGAAAATTTTGAACTACTATATTGCTTGTTTGATCTTCTAAAAATCAAGAAATCTCCCAAATATATGCATCAAGTCGTGACGGAGTAGCAAGTATCGAAACAACTAATTCAATCAGAATCACTAAACATATTAAATCGAATAGAAGAATTATTAAGAAAGAATAATGCATAAGTATGTAGTTTGATAGATATCAAATGATGCGACGAACCACTACCAAATGTAGATGACGACGAATCTCCATGAGTCGTCTGATTTGTTGAATTGCAAAAGATATACCATTTTTTTTTGATAAAAAAAATAGTATATCTTTTGCAATTCAACAAATCAGACAACTCATGGAGTAATAATAAAAATAATTTAGGTTCTCAACTAATTATCGAAAAAATTTAGTTTAGGAAAATCTCCTTCATCACGACGGTATTTTACATTTCTATTTCAATGGAGTTCAAATATGAATAAAATGCTCTGAGATATATTTTCAGAACTTACATCAAATAAATATCAAAGTCTTTCGCCACATGAGCTACTTTACGGCTAAAGTTAATAAATTTTTGAATGAATTAATTTGATTTTTCAGGTAAAAATAGTTATCTCATATTAGTTGACAAGTTCGATATGAAATTTTGGAAGTAACCCACATTTTGATAACGTTCAATTTCTAGGAAGCAACTAACGGTGTAATCATAGTACAACTATTTAACAGTTACGTACAACCAATCACTTTCAGTATATATCCCCTCCAACTCCTCCTCTTTCTCTGGAGGCATCAAGAACAATGGGGGTTTTCAATCCAAGAATCCAATTGACTATTCTTCTTCTCCTCCTCTCATCTCCGTCTTCCCTATCTCTCAATCTACCCACTAACCCCAATACAACAGTATACGAAATCCTCACTAAATTCAACCTACCTTCAGGGCTTTTACCAAGCTCTGTAAAATCTTACTCTCTTTCCGATGATGGAACATTTGAAGTTTTACTGGAGAAGCCTTGTTATGTGGAGTTTGAATATTTGGTTTATTACGCTGATAAGGTTACTGGGAAGCTGAGTCTTGGGTCGATTACTGATTTAGAAGGAATTGAAGTTAAGAGATTCTTGTTGTGGTTAAATGTGAATGAGATCCGAGTGGATTTGCCATCGTCTGGGAGTATTTACTTTCAAGTTGGGTTCATTAACAAGAAGCTTGATATCAAACAGTTTGAAACTCTTCATTCTTGCCGGGACAATGGTTTGGCCTTGTGTGGAGGACCATCTCTGAGACAGGTGATTTTCAAGTTACATTCTGTTTTTCTAAATTGTCTTAAGATTTTTGTTATCAAGTTGTATGGTTCTCTCTTCACTGAGGGTCGATATTGATTTGTTGTGTAAAATGTGAGTGAGCCCTTCATGTAATAAATAATTTTGTAAGGGAATTGAAAAATTGTTGCGTCACATACCAACACTTGTAATAGTCTGGCAAGATTGTGTATATGGTTCTATATTGTAGACTAAACATTGGCACCTAAAATGCACAAAGAAGCAGAAATTATGATCTGTAAAGGGCAAGGAAAAATTGGACTTGAGGGGTTTGGAGGCAAGGAGGTTGGAAGGAAAATAACAACAATCTTTAACAGAGTCCTCTATAGAGGGACCCTAAAGAAGAAGGGAAAAGGAGAGGGGATAGGTGGGATTCGATCCCTCTTTTTGTGGATTAAATGGTTCCTTTAGAACATTGGAAAAAAACATTCATTCAATCCTTCCTCACAACTTCTTCTCCACTATTATCTTGGTCAAGTTGAATAACTTCTACCGCTTGCAAAATCATTTTGGAAATCTAGCTCACATATATGGTCAAATCAAATCCTAAAGTCTAAAAGTTTTAGGTAAAGCATGACTAGAACAAAGTACTTGGAGTGCAAGTTTAATGACGTAACAAATGAGACATAGGTGGGAGTGAAGATCAATACATAAATCATACCCAAGAAATGGAGCTTCAAGTGTCTCGGGTCCATAAACCAAGGAGATAGGGTGATTGATGATGATATTGCACATTGTATAGGAGTGACGTGGGTGAAAATGGAGGCTTGCATCGAGGGTACTGTATGTACAGCCAAAAATTAAGGGTAAATTCTATAGAGTGGTGGTTAGACGATATTGTTGTATGGGACAAAGTGTTGGCCAATCAAGAATGTCCACGTTCAAAAGATGAATGTAGCGGAGATGAGGATACTCAGATAGATGTGTGGGCATACTAGAAGAGATATTATTAGAAAAAAGTAATAAGGGATAAGGTGTGAGTGGCCCCCATGGCAAACAAGTTGTGAGAAGCGAAACTGAGATGATTCAAACTTGTGAAGAGGAGGTGTGCGGATGAGCTAGTAAGGAGGTCTGAGAGGTTGGCTATAGTAGGAGTTAGGAGAGGTAAAGGTAGGCAGAAAAAGAATTGGGATGGGTGATTAGATAGGACCTGACTCAACTCAAGCTTACTTAGGACATGAACCTAAATAGGAAGGTGTGGAGGTCGATAATGAGAGTAGACAGTTAGTAGCTAACCAAGTGTTGCCGCACTTTATGAGGGAGAGACAGGGGCTAGCATCATCCCTTCCCCGTCTGTTAGTAGTAGTAGTTAGTAACTGCTTAGTTTCTTTATCAATGTGTGATACTATTTGTATTTATTTTGTATCTTGCTATTTTGCTATCACATTTTCCCGGCTTCAATAACTTCTCTTTACAATCTGTCTACCCCACAAAGGTAGGGTTAAGGTTTGTGTACATCTTACTTTCGACAAACCTCACTTGTGAGACTACACTGAGCATGTAGTTGTTGTTTCTATGTATGGGCAAATTAAACATATCAAACTGAAAATTGTTTCACTTTCATTTTTGCAAAGTTGTTGAGAAATAACTCTTTAGTTGAGGAAACCCTGATTATAATAATAACATTTACATATGTTAGTTTCATTGTCAAACCATGTCACTGATTAATTTTCAAGGTTTGGTGGTAATTAGTGTTCGCGTCTAGTTAATTTCCTTGTTCAGCTGCATTAATTTGTTCCCCATGAATGCTCTTGTATTTCCAGTTGTTGCAAGTCTATATTCTATTGGATAAAGGATGTCCCCTATGCAACTATATCTTGTGCTTATGTTTGTAGAGTTGGTTCTAATATTGTTTCCATAGCAAGATCATGAGAAATTGTTTTCTCCGGATTCTAATTTTTACTCATGCAGTGTTATCAAAGGCGCGCTTTAAGCGCGCTTAAGCCCTAAAGTGAGGCTCAAAACGTGTTGAGCGCTTCGCCTCGCTTTATGTGCGCTTCAGTGTCGTCATCAAAGTTCTAAGACAAACTTTTCCTTGCCAATGAGCCTCTTATGAAGAAGTGACACTTAACAATTGATATTTCACTTTATCATAAATTTTTTTCAATTTCTTTGGTCATATATTCATTCATGTTTATAATTATTAGTCTTGGACTAAACATACACATTTTTTTTTCTCCCTTTGCGCCTTTTTTCATTAAATCCCACGCTTTATTTGCGCTTTGCACTTAAAGCCCCCACGGACCTTAGAGCTTTTTTGCACTTTTCGCTTTTAATAACACTGTACTCATGGACTCTTGGTTTACTCATTGTTTCTTGTCTTGTCTCTCTGGCTGGCTTTGACTCATGGCTCCAAATCTACTGCTCAAACTTCTTTGCAACAAAATATAAATAAGGAATATGAGAATTTGTTATCTGGATGCTTCCTCCTTTTCTAGGTTTTACTCATCGTTTCTGTTTTACTTTCGTAATTCACAACTTGCCTCAACAGAATGCCAATTTTCTGAGAAATTTATTGAGAAGAAAGGACAAGTAGTGACACAGGCTGTTTCCCTTAGCTAATGTTAACTAAAGATAAAAATGATGGTAGCCTTCTCAGAGAATTACTCTCTATCTGGTTGGATGAAGCCATTACTCAACAACATATTATCAAGATTGGCAAACTTCATTCAAGCTAATTTCATCTAAAATGATGTTTTGGGATACTGTTGCTTGAAATTTTGGGTAATTGTGGGCAGTTAACAGGTGATCACTTCTATTGATATTAGATATGAAAATCTCTACAACAGGTCATCACACAGTCCTTGAATGTCAGTTGTTGGTGCCTTTATTCACCCGTAAAAGAAGCTGGTTGTTATTCTAATGAAGTTACTGTCTTAACTCTTAAGCATTTTATTTTACAATGACCTATCTGAAGAGATTACGGGAAAATGCATGGGATTTAATTGTTTTTCTTGATAAGTTAAATGCAGAGGACTAAAGTTGAATAACAGTTGTAGAGCTGGTCATTTTTCTTTTTTGATAGACGTATACTATAACAACTGTATAGTCCCCCAAAAATAATAAACAATTACAAATAAAAGGAACCCTTCCTATCAACGTTTCTTCTTACTGATGTCTTAAACATCAAAAATATCTTTTGCTTCTATTAAACATTCCTGTTTACACCAAAATAATGAGCGACTACACATTTCATCTTCAACTTCTAGATGTTGTGGTGCTTGTTTTCAAAACCCCTTTGGTTTCTCTCTTTCCAAACAGTGCACTATATACATGTTGGGAAATCCTCCGTCTCTCCTTCTGGTTGGTCAAATTTTCATCTGTCACGACTCGAGACTACCTCCTAGTCGTAACACGGTGCTTAGAGCCACAAGTGACCCAAACTAACCCATGGCCTAGCACGACACTATGATTTATGTAAATAATAACTTTACTGAATGTGAAAGCTAAACTGAAATAGCTGAGTGGTCTGGAATATAAAATTTAAATACTTGTCTATCTGACTGTCTATTTGAAAGCCTTTAGTAAGATGAGTTTCTAGGACAAGCCCCAACTAACTCTAATTGTCTGAAAAACTAAAAGATTTAATAATTGAAAGAAATATAAAGGTTGTCCTCGAAAGATGAGGACTCACCAAATGTGTTGCTGAGCTGATCGGAAGTTGTACTAACCGCATGCTGAATGCTAAACGTCTGAACCTATATTATAAAACAACATAGCGCAAAGAGTATGCAGTCAGTACTTTGAATGTATTGAGTAGGTGAAATGACCGAGTAGTAAAACATGTAACTGATAAATGCTAAAAACGGGGATAACTGACTTACAAGGTCATGCAACATTTGAGACTGGACTGTGGGAGATACTAATAACTAACGAGTTTAATGTTATAATCCCATCAAAGAGGGCCCAATATACCTTGCCAGGGTATAAAAGGTGATTTGTGCTAATGTGGTACCACTAAGTTGATGTCCATAAAGGACTAAGGAGTCAAGTCATGGTCTGACAGGTGACCCTTATAATCCTTCGGTGGTACGTAGTTTTGGGACTTAGAGATTGCTACAAAAAAGGTTTTAATCCTAACTAACGGATGAGCCTTCATCCCTAAATTCGCTCGGTGCTAAGTAACTGTCACTCCTCGAGTCTACACCCTGGACGTGGCTGGCACTCGAAAATCATTTCTAGTCCCCAAGCGAACCCTTGGTCTGGCTGACTACTAAGCGGAAGACTAAACACATAAATCATGAAGCTTTAAGTGATGAGCTTTTAAAACAATAAACTAAATCTCAAAAGCTGTATGAAAATAATGATAAAATTTGTCAAAACATTTAAGAAGAAAACTGAAATGGCTCTCTAACTCTATTTGTCTATGAAGCCTCTACTGTTTAAAGATAGGTGTCGGGACAAGACCCATGACTACTTTAAAATACTACTAAAGCAATAAAATTAGAGTCCTCCGAAAGCAAGGAGGCTTCACCAAAAGCTGACGAAATGCGTGATCTCAACGAAGTGTTTGTTGATGATCCTGAACATCTATATATGCATAATCAAACTATCCAAGAAGAAGAACTGAAAATAAAGTGAAAATTATGCTTTCATAAGAACTCTAACTTCTATAGAATTCATTATCTGAAGAACTCGGTTTTCTTTGGGACTCTATTGGTGAAAACATATCCATTGATGAAATTCCACACTTGGAATGGAGACCCTAGTTTGATTCCTTGAACTGAAGCTTGTAGATCAAGAACCCTAGTTCTTGCTTGAGAGGAGTTGAGACGTATGATTCTAATCTTTGGGTGTTGGGCGTGAATGGGAGGAGGGGGGGTTTAGGTCGACTAAGTTCTGCTTAATCCCTCTAAGAATAGTGGGGAAAGTTTAAAACAACCCTGAAGTAAAAACTATCGGCAACTTCTGCGAGGGCCATCTAAGGTCCGTGGATTGGACTACAGGTCGTAGATTCCTCTAGTAGA